TTTTTTTTTTTTTTTTTTCATCTCCTCCCTTTCCCATTGTTGTTTGTGTAATGAAAAATAAAAAATAAAATAATAATAATAATAAAAAAAAGAAATTGTTTAAGGGGAAATATGCTCACAACAGATGTAAGAACCAGTACCCTCTGTCATCTAAATGTTATAAATTATGGTAAGACTTGACAGGAGAAGAGGGATAACATATTGAGCCATGGTTGCACAGTAGTTAGAATGCAGTATTGCAGGATAATTTTGCTGACTGCCAACTGTTGACTCTTTAAACCGCTTAGAGAGGGCTTTAAAGCACCGTGAAGCCGTATGTAAGCCTAAGTGCTAGTGCTAAAACAGTGGAACAAAAGTTATTTACTGTAGTTGCTTTTGCAGGAAGCTAAGGATGAGATGGAGGTGGTGTCATTGAGAACATATCCCTCAAAACCAATTAACAAATCATATTTGGGGTCATAGTTCAAGAAATGTAATGATGAGCTGTAATAAGCATGCATTTTGAACAAATACAAAATGTGCAGTTAGTTTCAGGATATATACATTCCTTGGACTGCAGATATCTCAATTAGGAGTATTGTCATAGGAGTGAGAGAGTATCTGAATGAGATCAGCTGCTAAGATATCACTCATATATCTACTGTTAACAAATGTTGAATAATAGACATATTATACAAGACCTTGTCCTGATCTTTATGGAATATTCAGTTATGAAATGTGACTATTTTACATACTGTAAGTTTGTAATTTAAAAGGAGCACTTGCTTTTCAATGAACAGATATTGATGTTTGCTTTATATATATAAACAATATGTCCATGTCGCTGGTAGTTTTAATCACTTTATATCAGTGTTTCTCAACCTTGGCGACTTTAAGTCCTGTGGACTTCAACTCTCAGAATCCCCCAGACAGCTGTGCTGTCTGGGGGATTCTGGGAGTTGAAGTCCACAGGACTTAAAGTCGCCAAGGTTGAGAAACACTGCTTTATATGTTATAAATTTGTTTCATAAATAGCTTAACTGATATGCTGTCTTTTACATGAAAATGTGTTTTAAATGAATTCATTTCCTTACGAGATTATATATAATTACTGGAAAGGACTATTATAGAACATTGTGTATTGAACTATATGAAAGTGAAGGAACAGGAAAAAAAAGATACTTTAAGAAGAATTGGACAACAATCGTCATGAGACGATTTACTCCCAAGATTTCCATAATCATCTGTAGAACTATATGTTGCATTTGCTTATTTCTTTTGCACATATCTCAATTCCCAGAACATTTAAGCTGCATTTTGAACTCATTTTTTAGAGAAAATAAAGTGTTGTCCTTGTCTCAATTTGGACCAATGTAAATTTCTATCCATCATAGTTCAGGAAATGCAAGGAAAGATGACTAGTTTCATTTGCTGAACTTTAGCCCCTGGATTGTAATCCTAACTGTATTCTTATCAATGCACGATTTTTAGCATTCCCAGTCAAAAGACAATTATACAGTTTCACTTTTGTGCAGAGATATTGACAGAAGAAAAATGATAAAAGAAGTAGGGAAAAAGCCTAAGTAGATGGAAGACAACATTGCTTAAATGTAAAATTCTGTTAAGTCAGGCAGACATGAAGTATTTTCTTCACTCTTGATGAAACCAGTGGAGCCTAAAATTTATGAATACTCAGATATTCATTTTGTCTTGTACTTTGTGGGGAAAAAAGTTTTATATATAATTAAAATTTTGTACTTTAAAAAAACCCAGGACAATAATTTAAATATGGTTACCATTAGAATTTATACCAATGAATTGTTTGAAGGTAATTCACTCAGCATCCCAATATCAAATTTATCTTGCAAAACAAAGATATATAAGTAGTAGCAATTTGAAAACTCATCCCCCCTTAAAACATTATTTGCTATTCAATTTATAAAACTTACAAGTAACATAAGACTCCGGTGAGGATCAAACTTGGAAAATGTTGACTGAGTGAAGACTGAACTTGCTGTGACTTAGGGTCATCTCTAATTAGGCAGTTTGAAGCAGGCCCAGGCATAAAGTGATGATAACAGTGAACAGTAATGCCACTTAAGATAGTTAATTGTCCTTAGGTGCTATCTTGTCCTTTAACTCAGCCGACTGTTGCTGAATGCAGAAAGAGTGTTTGAAATCACTTGAAGGCTGTAAGTGTCTCTCTATCTAAATAATATGTACTTAAGGAATGAGCATGCCATTGAAGTGCTTTCAGTTCTACTGATTTAGACAAATAATCTGCAGAAGCTGTAGGACTAAAGGATGATGATGTACTGTATATACTCGAGTATAAGCCTAGTTTTTCAGCCCACTTTTTGGGCTGAAAAAAGCCGCCTCGGCTTATACTCGAGTA